AGTGCCTGGGACAGAATGCTCCCTTTTCAACTGGTCACAGCTTGTCGTCTTGCAAGAAAAGCCCTTGTAGCTACTCTGGAGCTGCTCCTCACCTGCCTGAATCATTCTCCATAAACTAACTGATGTCTCCTTTGGGTTGGGCCTGACACTAGGCCCCAGATGAACAGGGATCTCCTTGCCCTGACAGAACGCAGACTTGGAAATTCACAATGGCAAAATGTATGGGCTATGACAGTCTAAAAAGGGGTGTGTGTGCAATGAGAGGGTGACAGGTGTGTATATGCTTCCTGACTGTAAAATGGTCAACACTTGGGCCGGCCCGTGGCTCACTTGGGAGAGTGAGGTGCCGACAACACCAAGCCAAAGGTTAAGATCCCCTTATCGGTCATCTTTAAAAAAATAAATTAAAAATTTAAAAAAAGGTCAACACTTGAACCTTAAAGAATGTCTAGGTTAACCAACTTTCAGTGTGTATATATGTGTCATCTGGGGAATAGAGACATGGATCAAATAAACAACGTTAGATGGAAAGGCATTCTCAACAGAGGCCATACTGCCCCAAGAGCCCAGGAAACAAGTCTATGGACTACACTAGGAACCGGGGGTACTTTAAGATGAGGAGTAGAAGATGAAAGGAAAAACACTGAGAGGGGCCAGCCCGTGGCTCACTCGGGAGAGTGCGGTGCTGATAACACCAAGGCCACAGGTTCGGATCCCATATAGGGATGGCCGGTTAGCTCACCGGGTGAGTGTGGTGCTGACAACACCAAGTCAAGGGTTAAGATCCCCTTACTGGTCATCTTTTTAAAAAAAAAAAAAAAAGAAAAGAAAAACACTGAGAGACTAGGCTGGATAATGGGATTTTATTCTGTAGACAACAGAAACACCTGTGCCTCTCCGCTGGCCCCGTGGGTTGGATCCCTACAGCGGGGCACTTCCCCAACTCAGCTGCCTGGAGAAGCTTTGGGACATCTTCCCATCCCTCTCCAGCTCCGCTGCACCAAAGCTCTGTGCTTCTGCCTTTCAGCCCAGTCCCTAGATGGCTCCTAGGTCCACTCAAATCAGAAAGTCTAAGAACCTCAGTCACCCACAACAGCCATTCCTGAGGTTGATCACCGCTAGGGGCCAAGTTAGCCAAGAGCTTTCAGGGGAGCTGATTAATAAAGCAGATTCCTAACTATGCTGAGGAGAATCTTACTTACTCAGTCTAGGCAGCCAGTTATGGGAGCCACCATTCAAGAGTAAGGAAGCAGGTGGAAGACAGATCTGAGACTCCAGCTATGATCACCTCCAGCAAACATTCTCCAAGATAAGCTACTGTGAGAGGCTGGGAGGGAACACCTGGGAAATTCCTACTTTGGTTCTATATAACCCTAGGAGTTCCTCTCCAGGTCCCTGGCTGCAGTTGGACGTGCAGGTATATCCTGAGACGCAATGACTGAGGAAGAGAGGCCGTAAGAGTGCTATATTCTGGACTCCATTACTTCCGGATTCTGGGTTTTTTTTTTTTTTTTTTTTTTTTTTTTAAAGATGAC